TCCTTTGTCGGGTTGCAGCCATCACTGCTGTCTAGGTCCCGGATATTTTCATCACACCGTAAAGGAGTCATTCCTCAACCCTCCTTGTGTTCCCTGGCAACCACTAACTGCTTTCTGTCCACATGTGCATATTCTTGATATGTCATGTAAGTGGGATCTTACAGCGTAGCTCTTGGTGTCTGGTTTTTTACATGTTTTCAGGGTTTAGCCTTGTTACAGTATTACCACTTTTATGGCAGGGTCGGACTCTATTATGGACGTACTGTATTTTGTTTATCCATTCATCAATTAATGGACATTTGGATTTGGCTTCTCCTTCAGGGCTGTGTTGAATAATATTTCTGTTGTACATTACGTACAGATTTTGGTGTTCTCTTGAGACTGGCCTGGGTGTAACTTTGTGAGGACCTGTCAAGTTACTGTTGACAGCTGCTGGGCCACTTCTGTATTCCTACCGGCCGCCTGTGAGGACAGCTGTGCCGTTACACCAGCGAAGACTTGTCCCAGGCAGGTGGCTTTCTTGTCCCCTCTGTGTCCACCTTAGAAATGGACTTATGAATATTTTTTACAATTATTGAAGTCAGAAGTGCACTAGATATTTCCACATTGAGAACTTCATATGGAGAATTAGTGAAGTAGGCATCAGAAAACTCAAAAGCAAAAACGCAACACTGAGGTGATATGCTAACATTGAGAAGTGGCTGCCATCCCTGGTCATCAGAATTGTTACAAAGATTAGGATGTGCCCAGTGGTGCACAGGGTTCACCTGTAACTATTGCTGGTACCTTTGAGTTTGTGTGCTGAGTGAAGCAGTGTCTGGAAGGAAAACACAAAAAACAAACCGTCTTTATACAGTTTGTTAAAATGCTTGGAGTTAGGATGGAGAATCTTAAGTGCCCCTTCCTACCTAACAGCATTTCAGTGACGATTGCACAGCATAAATACAGGGCAGTGTCTCCTAAGTGACTTGTGCAGGACTCTGCACCCTGGCTTTTGCTTGGTTGCCCTGTTTCAATCCCTGCTGTTTACTCTTACTCCCGCTAAGCTAAGATGTATTGGACTCTCTGAATCCGTGGTGCTCAGCACAGTATGTTTTCTCTGCTCCTGTCTGCAGTGGCCTCCTCCCCGACGTCTTTTTTGAGTCATCTAGGTAAACTTCATCTCTTGTATGGCACCATTGCACTTTGTCCTGTTTAATGGTAACATTTCCATTTCCTTAATTGCCGACGTTAATTTCTTTTCCTTGGAGAGACTTCCTTCATTATAGGCTGAGCTGGTTGAGCTGGTATACACCTGTAGTGCTGTCACTTAGGGACTGAGGCAGGAGAATTTTTAATTTGAGGTCACTCTGGACTACATAATGATACTGGCTCAGAAAAACACACCAGGCAGTCTTGATAGTTCATGCCTTTAATCCCAACACTTGCCGCAGAGGTAGGCCATCTGTCTAAATTCTAGGACAGTCTGTTCTACATAGCAACTACCTGTTTAGGGGCTGGGGATGGGGAGCCCCCCCCCCAAAAAAAAAGGAAGGGAAAGATAACAGAACCTTTTTTTTTTTTAATCTTACATGAAATGCTTGAAACCAGAAGTGTTCCATGGACTTTTCTTTGGGCCACCAGCCCTGGAAAAAGATGACACGGACACTTGTTGTGAAAGCTCAGCCCTGCGCTTAGGCTTGTCCCACTAGTGCTTATAATTTAACCCATTTCTATTCATCTGTTTTGCCCTGTGACTTTTTACCGACCTTTCTTCTTGTACCTCTTGTGTCCATTCTGTGTCCCTGGGAGTCTCTCCCATGTCTAGATTGATCTCCTCTCGCTCTGTGCAGACGTCCTACCTAACCTCTTCCTGCCTAGCTGTTAGCCATTCAGCTCTTTATTAAAGCAATCAGAAGGTGTCTTGGCAAAGACACATTTTTACAGTGTACAAAAAGATGATTCTACAACAGTTTCAAATTTCAGTTTCTAGGATTTTTGGAATGTTTGTGCATATTTTACTGGTTGAACATCCAATACTTTGGACTTAAGAACATTTCTGGTTTTAGATTAAGAAGCTGCAATGTAGGTCAGAAAAATGTGATCTTTAGGATTGAAATGACTGTTCCTGGAGTACAGCAGAGTAGTAGGTAGGAATGAATTTATAGACCTATTTACATACTGTAATTCCCCTTCCCTGCAATTGTTTTCTTTTTTTACAAGACTCTGTAGCTTACGCTGCCCTTGAACTGAACTCAGTAGACTCTGGCCTCTGACTCCTGATCCTTGTGCCACAGCCTCCTAATGAGTTGTGGGATTACAGACATGTGCTACTCAGGCCCAGCCTTCCCTAGTTGTATTCTGTTAGTAGGTATACCAAGCTGCTGTGCAATATGGAAGACATCATTCTTTAAGGGATTCAAATCTTGAGAAAGGTAATAATATAGAGTGCTTGACTGTTAACAGAGTAAGTAAATTTCATAATTTTCCCTGTGGATGTTACTAAGCAGTGAAAAGTATTTGTAATACATGTGAAGAAAACAGCAAACCACTATAGAAATAAATCCCCAAATAATACTTGAGCTGATATCTCAGCAATTCTAGACAAAGGCATCGCCTGAAGGTGGAGATTGATAGATGGGATAGTGCCTGCAATGTGTTTGTCACAATGTCCTGCCTCTAAGTGAGGGCTCAGTAATGTGGGCTGCTGAAATTACTGTTGATAGGAGTAGGAGTTTTCCAGTGAAAATTCCATTAGCCTAAGTTTTCTGTTTACCTTTGCCTGTTGCCCTAGTCGATTGTTCTATGCAATGAGCATGCAGAATATAATTGAGCTACACTAGAAACCACAAACTGTTCTTTCTGGTCAGAGTTTGCTTTGTCTTGAGTGACTTATCCCTCCCCACCCCAGTACTCTTAATGGTTCCACAGATTAGTTTATATTCATGAAAACCTTAAGGCACACGGCCCTGCACCTTCACTCCCAGCACTCAGGAGGCAGAGGCAGGTGGAGCTCTGAGTTCCAGGACAGCCAAGGCTACACAGAGAAACCCTGTTTTGAAAAAGAAAAAAAAGAAAGAAAACGTCATACAGCAGCAACAACAACAAAAAGATATGAAGGAAGAAACCAAGACATGGCGGAAGTAGGAAGATATAAATCTAACTTCATTCCTCGAAGAGACGCATCATAAGACTTGTTAGTGATGGATGGGCATCCTCTCGCTGTTGTCTGGGAAAGCGATGCATTATATCCTTTGTGCACCAGCTCTCTCTCTCTCTCTCTCTCTCTCTCTCCCTCCCTCCCTCTCTCTCCCTCTCTCTCTTTCTCTCCTCTCTCTCCCTCCCTTCCTCCCTCTCTCCCTCCCTCTCCCTCTCTCTCTCCTCTCTCTCTCCCTTCCTCTCTCCTCTCTCTCCCTCTCTCTCTCTCTCTTTTTGATACTAAGTTTTCCCAAGTAGCCCAGGCTACCGTTAAACTCACGGTGTAATAGTCAGGTTGGCTGCCTCCCTCCCTGGAATTACAGATGTGTACCTTAAAACCTGGTAGTTTTGTCATACCTTAACATTTTTACCTTATTGACTTAGCTCTTCATGGTCCAAAATTTAAGATAGTTGGAAAACTCATGTTGTTAGACTTTTCCATATCATGAATGTTCTAAAATAGTACATATTATTCTGATTGTTGTTTTGATGAAGTCTACATTATTTATGGTTTGAATGAAAATACTATGTATTAAATTTCTTAGTATCTCATAATTAAAAATGACTTCATTATCTTATTAAAATTTTTAGCTTTTAAAAATTTATCTTAAATTTATATTTGGTTTTAGAAGACAGTTTAAACATCAGAAAAGGATTTAAAACTACTATTGATTTAAAAAAGTCTTAGTGTAAGTCAACACATTGGAAGTGATAGTTTTCGTGTGGTCTCATTTCAGGTATGCAGTATATTCAGCATAGAGTATTTGAGAGAGGCTGGTACAATTGTCAAAACTTTTTGTTAATGTTGGCATAACTGTAGGTTTTTGTATTTGTATATATTTGTATTAAATAGATGCATCCATTCAACAGATAATTTATTGATTCCTGCAATGTTTATGACTTAGCACTGATATGTCACGGTGAGCAAAGTAGTTGTAGTCCTGCTAATTTCAAGTTCAAAGCCTGGTGGGGGATGGGCAGGCATGAACTTAAATAAACATACAGTTAAAACACACAGCACAAGAAAACATGGAGAGTTCTTCAGATTTTAAGGCAGGAGGCAATAATATTGGGAGACTAAGCAAATGGCATGATCGACACTTAACGAACAGTCCTCTGCTTTCTTGAAGAAAACAGATCCTATGAGTACAGGAAGGATATCTGCTAGGAACCATTGGCTGCCTCAGACAGGGCACCTCCCATGGACTAAGGGTGTCTGAATCTGTGTCTGTATGTGTACTAGGGGACAGCTAATGGGGGGTGGGGCCTGGATTATGGTGTATTGGTGCTTTGCTTCACCATTAACTAATCCTTGTAGAATCTACTTTTAAATTAAATTGGCTGAACTTTGGTATTGTGTACTTTGATAATATGTTGATTATTTTTAAGTAAGGAAATAACAAAGTTATTTTAGTGACTCACCCACAGGGATTGGCAGAATTTTCTGAAAGGGCTAGCTAGCTACATGGGTCTTTGTCACATCAAGCTTAGGGACTCTTGACTTGTTAGGTTTTGTTTCTTTGGGTGGCGGGGACATTGAGGCGGGTTCTTACTGTAGACCTGACTGGCTTGGAACTTACTGTGTAGTCTGCTGGCCTCTCCCCAGCGTGCTTGCCAGTGGCCATCGTGATGGGAGCTAAAAGGCCTCTCGCGGTTTAGATCTGCACCACTCTCCATGGCGCCTTCAGCTGCGCGTTGGGCGCTTGTCTGCTTTAGAGATTATCTCAAATGCCCATTTTGAGTGGGGAAATCTGTTGCTGAGTTAGGTATGTCCACCTTTTAAAAGATGCACTGTAATAACCCGACTGTTTCTACCTTCTCAGGACTCCTACAGGAAACAAGTAGTAATTGATGGAGAAACCTGTCTCTTGGACATTCTCGACACAGCAGGTCAAGAGGAGTACAGTGCAATGAGGGACCAGTACATGAGGACTGGGGAGGGCTTTCTTTGTGTATTTGCCATAAATAATACTAAATCATTTGAAGATATTCACCATTATAGGTGGGTTTATTTTGAATATGAAAGTGGGCATTGAAAATTGATGATGATTTCATTCATTGCTTCTCTGCTAATTGTTATCCTGTATGATCTGTTTAAATTGGAAAACATTTGTGTCAGGTGTGCAGAATTCTCATTTCACAAATGCAGCAGCTGCATCATCTGCCCCTGTTTGTGGGTAGTGGTGGTGCTGGCCGAGAGCAGGGCTTTTGTACCCTTATTACCCTATGTGGGAGGGGCAAGAGCACCAGCCAGAGATGGGACGTGGAAACATGGTCTTAAAAATAATCATTTTATTTCACAATTTCATGGGCTGCATAAGCACTGGCCTTATGTAGTTCTTTAAAAAAAAAAAAAAAAAGCACATTTAGGTGGTATAAGAAGTTGAAGAATTAGAGCGGTTACTGGTTTTTATTTTAGGAGTCTGACAAATGTACCTAAGATTACTTAATCACATGAAATGTATTTTACATTCTTTCCTTGAAAGTCTACAGTATCCATTACACTGCTTATTAAGCAACGCCCCCTTCCTGGCTGTGCCACATAACTGTGTACCAGCTAAGTTAGAGTGCTTGCCTGGTGACAGGGATGGCGTGACTGGAGTGCATTTCTATAGTGCTGCAGGGTGAAGTTTGAGATAGAGGGCATCCGGGGATATGAACCATTTTAGGCACTCACAGGAAATTGTGAAGGAGTACAATTTTATTTCAAATTTAGGATTTATTTGTAGGCTACATTGACAGCCCCATATGAAAAGGACTTTTAGCAGAATATACATTGTAGTTTCTTTAGGGTTGCTTTTTTAAGAAGACCCATCTTCAGGGCTGAAGAGATGGCTTAAGGTTACTGACATATGTTGCTTTTCTAGAGGACCCAAATGAATTCCCAGTATCATGTTATTCATCTCATAGCCATTACAGCTCTGTAGAATCCAGTACTTGTGACCACCACTGGCACCTGAACTCACATGCTCAGACCTGTCAGTACACAGAAATACACATACACATGACTTAAAACCTGTCTTTCCAATGGTTATCTCTCTCTCTTGAGCAGTATAGTAGTCCTATCCATAGTTCTTTGACATTTTACTCATGTCCATCTAAGTCTGACAATACTAAATAGAAATTTCTAGAAATAAAGGATTCCTAAGTCTTAAATAACTTTTATTACATATCGTTACAATTTTTGTTTTATTAGCTTCTTACTATACGTGCACCACCATACCCTGTGGACGAACTCATTTTCCTCATTTTCAGTCATGTTTCTAAGACAATTTTATACGTAGCACTCCTGGTTTGGAACTTTCCAGTATGTTTCTTAAATCCTTTCTGTTGAGTTGAGATTGTATCAGTAGTGAACAAATATGTAAGATTTTTGTCTTGAATAAATAAGTAAGAAAACAAGGAAAATTTGATATGGTGGAAACTAGGAATTACATGAAGAAATAAATCATTCCGTAAAGTTCTTTAGGGTGGAAGTTGAGGTCAGATTTGAAGTATTTTTGTGTTGCTTATGCTTCTGTTTGCTTTTTTCCCCAGAGAACAAATTAAAAGAGTAAAAGACTCTGAAGATGTGCCTATGGTCCTAGTAGGGAATAAATGTGATTTGCCTTCTAGAACAGTAGACACAAAACAGGCTCAGGACTTAGCAAGAAGTTACGGGATTCCATTTATTGAAACTTCAGCAAAGACCAGACAGGTAAGTAACCCAGAATCAATGTGAGTTATTGAGGGTATGAATGCTAGAATAACTGTTGTTGTATGTTAATCATTTAGTGTGACTTACCAGTCTTTCTATTATCCTGAAATAGACTTAATAAAATCATGGTTATTTGGCAAATATCTTCTCTTGAGTGGACAGTACTTTCTACCCAGGGACCACGATACTACTTTGGGCTCTCTCTCTCTCTCTCTCTCTCTCTCTCTCTCTCTCTCTCTCTCTCTCTCTCTCTCTCTCTTTCCCCCCCCTCCCCCGTGTGTGTGTTTGTGGGGGGTGATGATTGAAAGGAGGTCTCTCGTCCCTCAGCCTGGGCTTGAACTCTCAATCTCTCAACTCTTGTCTTCCAGGTATTGGAATTAGAAGTGTGCTCCACTATGCTGGCTATTTTTTTCTTTTCATATTGAAAATTTTTCTTCCACTTAGAGTACATTTTACATTTAGGATTCAAGAAAGGTAGAAAAGTTTTCCCACTTAAATAATAAATACAGAACAGTAGAATAAAATTTGAGTTTCTTATTTTGGAAGCAATTTTTAAGAATTTATGTTTTAGCTGGGATTGGTGACACACACCTTTAATCCTAGCACTGAGGAGGCAGGGGCAAGAGGATCTCTGTGAGTTCAAGGCCAGCCTGGTCTACAGAGCGAGTTCTAAGACAGTCAGGCCCACACAGAGAAACCCTGTCAATTCATGTTTCTAGATTAAATGTTGTGCTCTTAGAAGAATTATATTTAGGCAGAAAGTTTTTGAGGATCTCTTTCATTAGGGAGAAAGTTGTAGTTAAAATAAGGGAGTATTTAGAAAGTGAATAGACATTCTTAAATTATTCACTGCATTGTTCTGACAAATGTATATGTCAGATAAAGCCTGAATTTTGTTTCAAAATCATTTTCCTTTTAAAAGTAACTTTAAACTTCAACTGATAATTACATCATTTGTTTGTTTGCAGAAGTTTAGCAAATAGGAAAAAGAGTCCTAGAAATGAGTTCGTAAAGACTTGCTGGAGAACAGTTAGTTTCATGTACTGAATAATTTGTTAATTTATAGTTCATAAGTTTATTTGGAGCTTTTATGGGAACCCCCATAAAATGATTTTGTAAAGTTTGACTTCTCATGACTGTAAGTGTGCAAGAGTCATCCTAGAAATGTTTACTGAATTTTGTGAAGGATATAAAAATTTAAACAAATTTCAAATGTACAGATGGCTGGATAAATACAAAAAAAAATTCTCGAGGAGGTTGTAGCTACCTCTTGTTTGTGCAAACAGGGTGCGTGTTGAAAGAAAACAGTGAATTCTGTTTGATGTCTTTGTTAGGATTAAGAAGTGAGTCTCTGTCACACGGGTGTCTCTCCGTCCTGGGGACCAGTTTGTTCATAGCTGACTTAGAATTTACAGATCTGCTGTGCATCGTTTGGCTTCACAGTAGAGGAGCTATTTCATTCATTCACAGCCACCCTGCATTCTATTTCCTGGCCTATGACCAGTCTCAGAAACAGCTCAGAAAACATAAATTAATAGCTGCTAGTTTCTTCTTCTATGTTAGAAACATTTCTTTTGAAAGAATTCAAATATGAAATGTAAGAATTTTATTTAAAATGTATTATATATAATTTACCATTGGCATTTTACTGCTTGCATTGTTTAAACTTACAAAGAAAGATACCTTTCATACTGGTGATCATTGTAGCTGATTATTTTACAAAGAAAAGGAAAAGCCCGAGGCTGGGTTGCAACGCAGAAGAGCCTCTCATACATGAATGTGCACACAAATCAACTGAACTTATTAACGTCAAAGTCCAGACTTTAATCCCGTGTGCTTGTGTTGAAGCCTGTGTTGAAGCATTCCTCTGTACTTTGAGGTAGTGCTGGTTTGGGAGGTGGGCCACAGTCTGAGTAGAAAGACCATCATCGGGCATAGTGAAAGGGGGCTCTTGGTTACCCTCTTCACTTGTCACTTGGGAAGAGCCTAAAATAACTGCATTTAATACATCATTTCTGTTTGACAGAAATGCTTTAGTGTACTGTGGTTCATAATTGATGAGAATACTACCTGGTTTCCTTTTAATAGCCTCTTAGCTTTAACAGTGTTCTCTCTCTCAAACACGCACACTTAAGCCTTTCAAAATTGTTTTGCTTTGTTCATTTTTGTTTGGTTTTTAGTGTTTTTACTGTTGTGTAGTCCAGTCAAATCCCAAACCCATTATGTAGAAGATGCTGGCCTTGAACTCTTGCTTCTGGGATTACAGGCATGTACCAGTGTGCCCAGCTTACTTTGTCAGTTCAAAGGCATATGGTACGGAAATAGATTAACATAATTTGCTTTTTAGATAGTGTGAGTCATCTAACATTTATAGAGGTAAGATACACAAGAGCTGTTTCAGAGGTACTTAACCCTTGTAATTATACCCTAGTCTATTGGTCTCTTTTATATGACAATATGTTGCTAAACTATAACTTAGATATTCACTTTTCAGTGGACTTGATGGTTTATTTAGAAGCTAATTTAGAATTTATTTATTTAGAAATTTGCTTCGGAGAAGAATCAATCATTAATGTTTCTTGAAATCAATGTGATATATATAAAGTTTTGGAAGATTCTAAAGAGCTACTCCACATAATTTTAGTAATGTATGACATACAGTGTACATTTTAATAAATTTTACATCTCCAGTTGTTACAAAAATTTGAAGCTCCTTTTTGGGAACCATTTTGTTACTATCTTTTATTCACTTATTTGTTATTTTAATTAAGTATACATGTCCCTATTGTATTTTCTTAGCAACTTGTTCATGAGCTTAGCAAAAGCACCCCCCACCCAAAAAAAAAAAAAATCTATGGTTATAAGAACTGAGCACTCATTCAAAAGTTTTCAAAGGTATAAGTCAAGGCATGGAAAGAATTTTTTTTACAGAAGCCCAGATAGTAAAGTAGTATCTTACACATAATTTTCCCTCAGAAGCTTAGAAAAATGTAAAACTCCTTGTCAACTGATACCAGAACAGTTGTGACCCTACCTAGACTTGGCCTGTAGGTTGTAACATGCTAATCTCAACCTCCCTAGATGTCAGTTGATGAGACTCCAGTAGTTACACCAGACCTTCAACCAAAAATTTACAGGCTGATCTTTCCATTTTAAAGCAAATTTTGTGTATTTAGTATTTTATTACTTTTTCAGATGACAGTTACAGAATACATATTTTTACTAATGCATTACTTGCTAACTTTATAATACACATTACCTTACCAGTATATAATGATAGGTAGAAGATGGATAGATGATAGGTAAATAGATAGATGATACATAGGTAGGTAGGAAGAAATGAAAGGGAGAGAGGGAGGGAGGGAGGACAGACTGACGGACGGACAGACGGATGGGCGGGCGGGCGAAAGAACACCATCTTGTTGTGTTGCCCAGAAGGTTCTGGAACTCACAGGCTCAAGTGATCCCCCTGCCTCCTTATCCCCTGTCCCTGGATCTACAGATGTGTGCATTGTGCTTAATTGTTTTTGTGTCTTTATCTGAAAGGGTAAAGGAGCTAAATTAAATTTGCTGGTGTGTTATTATGTGGCCCCAATATTCCTGGTCTATAAAAGTACTACTTCATATTTCTCAAGACACTTAGAAGTTGACAGATTCTTCTGATTCCTTTGGCTAGCACATCAGAAAAGGCTATTAAGACTGAGACCCTGAACACTTGAGGATTAGCTGTGAGTTTGCCAGGCAAAAGTCAGAATGAGTGGGTGTCAGATGGGTGACAAGCAGGGTCTTGGATTAGCCCATCTAGCTTTTTTATATTTAGTGTCTTTATTTGAGCAGTGTAAAAGTCACTTTCCAAGCTTAAACATTGCCCAGTACTCACTAATTTCTTGGTGTGTTACTAATTTTTAGATATGTAAAATTAGTTGATAGCCTCTCTGAAAGAAAGCTTATCATAAAGCTGTTTAAGAAAGCAAACATTTTAAAACGTCAGGTGCAGTATCTAATAATTGTTCTTTCCCCATGAGAGCAGTGCCTTGAACTTTGAGTTAGAAGTGTTGTAGACCTGAGATTGGGGTTATCGCTTGGCAGGGTTCTTAAGGGCAGTCAGGGATGTGAGGTTGGGACTGGGAAATATGTCTGGTTTCTCTGTTCCCTCCCCAAGAAGGCCAGTGTTGTTGCTTCTGTATATTCCTAGTTCATGCTACATATGTGTCCTTCCCATGCCAGAATGCTGCAAGTTGTTTTGCAGATTCACCAAGGATGAATACAGTTGATAAAAATGTAATGTCTTACTGAGAGCAAATGAAGAATTGTATTTGTTAATAGGTCTCTAGGGGGATGCTCTGTTTCTATAATCTCTTCTGCTTTAAGCTCAACACATTGTCAGATCTCTCTGTTTACAAAAGGACTTACTTACATATTTAAACTTGCATACTTTTGTTTATACATGGATATTTTCATTTGTTCTTAGTGTTCACTAAGTGACATTTTAAAGTAAGCAAATGTGTCAATAAGTTATACCCTTGGCAAATCACTGTGCATTGTAGGGGTTTAGCAAGTAGTTGTAACTACCTTATTTTTAATAGTACTTCAAAGTTCACAACTTATAAATCAATGTTCTATACTATAGTCATATACCATATGTAGTATTTAAAACTAAGAGAGTGCTGGTGGTAGGGTTAGGATAAATAACAATTTTCTCAAATTCTCTTGATGTCAATATAACTTGGAAGTGTATTTTCAGGGAATAACCAAGTATGGAAAATGTGGTAAATAACCTTTTTAAATGAATTTAAATTTTGTATTTGTAAAACTAAGAAATGGAAAGTTTTTCTGTAGTAACTATTTCTTGGTGTTAATTATCTTGGCCACTGAGATCCTAACACTGAATTCCTGGTGATGGGTAGTTGTCTCTGTAATTATTGGCTTCCGATTCTCTCTGCATTGCTGGAAACAGAAATCATGTATTCTCGTATTGGTGATGGGGATGCTCACACTAA